GCGCTCTTTTTACAGCGCCTGTTTCTGCTACTCTCTTTCTTGCCCCTACCATTCCTCTGCTCTTCGCGCCGTTTTTTCGCCACTTTCTTTCGCTCCTCCCGTACTTTCGTGGCGGGTCCGTAGCTCAGCCAGCAGTGCACGCGGCTTCCACGCCGGTGACCATGGTTCGATCCCCGGATGTGCTCGCTTTTCCTTCGAAAATGCTTTACGGTTGCAGATTGCCCAACCTGCACATTGCGAACTTACGCGCCTACTGAAGTTGATTGCCCCTAAAAAGCTATCGATCTGAAAATTAGCTGCGTGTTTGGTCATTTTGCCCAAGGCATTTATATGCAGTAGCTTTATAGGGCGCTTTTTGTTCTGGTTTTGTCGGCATGGTGACCCTTACCTTACAGAAAGACGCAAATAACTTTCAACTATCTGGATTATGAAACGGAAAATCTGTTTCTAAAAACTTGAAATCAAGATCGCAGATAAAACCATACTTTCTGAAAATCTGAAATTCAGGTAGAATCAAGATAGATTCCCCATTCCATAATCCAGATAGAGAAAAAGTTATACTGTTTTTTTTTGGTTAGGTACTTTTTCAGTGAATGAAGTGGATGGTAGCCATAGTTTAGGAGTGCCTAGGGCAGGGCTTTGTGTGGAAACAGGTTACGTCCACTATTGTTTGTTCTTTTGCGGCCCTGCGCACGCTTCCCATCAGCATCACCTGGATCCAGAGCATTTGCGCTAAATTTTCTTAGTCACCAAAAGAGGAAGCGCTTTCCTGCCTTTTCCATTCCTCCTGATCTCGCGCGCTCTTTCTGAACTATCTCTTTATCCACCATTTGTTCTTGCTTTTTTCCACCCCTCTCCACTCTGCGGGCTTTCTCACGCCACGCCCGTCTGCTCCGCCCGACCCTGTGTGCTGGGTCTATAGTTAAAGGGGCCCTCCGGAGCTTTCTGCGATCGTCTGTTTATGTTGTTATATTGCGTAGTAGGTGCAAGTTAATATGTGTACAAGGTTTTAGATTACAAAACCGTTTATCAAGCAGATGGCAGTAGAAATATATCGGGACTATTTTCTCTTGGAAGACAATCTACGATTCCCTCCCCATCGCTAAAGCTTGACCAATGGAAATGCTGCATCTCGCGGTGAATGCAAACGTTATTATTGCAACACTTTTTAAGCTTGTTGTAAACTAGAGTTTGAGAAAAACGTAAACTGATTGTGGTGCGCGAAACATAGTCCGCAATTATCGGTCCAAAACGAGCGAACTCTGTTTTCTCCCCGCAAGCTTGTTGATAGGGGGTGATGCGTCGGCGCGTTGGCCCGTCTGCTTCGCGGGGTGTCTGCAGGCGTGTGTTTGCGGGACACGTGTTCCTTCTTCCCGTGGATCCCGACTACTAAGCCAGCTTTGCGATCCTTGCACGTCAACGAGTCAAACTTTTCCGTGCCATCTGTGGAATGCGACTGCGTATTGCAGTAGCAGCGCGACGGTGCGCTGCGACAAACGACGACTGCCGAGCAGAAAGTCCGGGCCCTTTGACGACGGTCCGCGCGTGTTCGAGAGATTTCTCCGCGGGTCGGCGGTCGGCCGCGTTGGTGACGCGCATCGACGCCGAAATCCTTCGCTTGCTATGGCCGACGCGTAAAGAGATGCCCCTCCCGTTTTCCGGGGTCATCTCAGAAAGGGGGGCGTGCCGGGTACTTTGATCGCAATTTTAATAGGGAAATCCGCCGCGCATGACCGTAATTTTATTATTTTTAGGATCCTTAGGGCCCTAGATTGAGTTACCGCCATAAATAGACCATCGCAGAACGCACCGGAGGGCCCGTTTAGGTCAACTGCGCACTCGATTTCCACGCCAGTGACCGGGGTCAAATCCCTGGTAGCGGTGTCCGTTTTTTGTTGTTGTTGTTGATCGTTTCTCGGTTACGGATTGACTGGCCTGCACATTTCATGCCTACACGACTCGTACGGTTGGATGGCTCTCTAAAGCTACCGCTTTAAAAAAAGAAGTACGGACGATTGCTTCTTCGTGCCAATTGGGCCATGTCTTGCAGACTGCGCAACCGACACTGCTAGAACGAACACCGACATCGGCGCTTCTTTGCATCTTACATGTGAAACATTAACCAGGCAAAACAAGAAGCTGGGCACACGTGGGCAGTGTGGTGGGGCAGCCCCTGCAATACCCCAGTGGATCCCACGTGCAGGTGATACCCTGCAGCTTGTTCTAAAACAGTACAGATGAGTAGGTGCCGAGATTTTTCTGAGACCTTAGCTATCACGACTCATATGCGCACCTGTTTTCTTTTGCGACGAGAAAGAATGCTGACTTAAAGTTTTGTTATGTAATAATGTTTTAGGTAACTAGGAAAAGTGATCCTTTTGTAATTTTATGTCGAAGATTTAATTGTGTGACTATGTACTAAAGGGTCTTAAGGCACGTTTCTAGTCCCTGTAATATACAGCAGCTGCTGAAGCTTCTGACGCCATAAATTTTAGTGCTTGCTTTTTTATTTTGTTTTCATTCATTAAACTGTTGCTTTGAACTGGGGTTGCGCACTTTTGGTTCCAACATGTAACCTTAACTCTGCGTGCATCGTAATAGTGAAGCTGGATAATATTTTCGGTTCAATTGTATGTTTTGCTTTTGATATTGTGCGAGTGACTTCCTCAGTCGTCTGCTTCTGAGCCATTGTTAATGTGTTAATTGAAATTAGTACTTTCTGCAGATGCGCTAAGGACTACTTCCAGATGGGCAAACAAAGGCTGCAAAAAGTGCGCTAATAGAACATGATGAGAATGGAAGCGAAAGCTGTTGTTGCTAAAAAAAAAAAGTGACAGGCACCATACTAAACTTGAAACTCAAAGAAGATACAACGTTTAAATATGGGTGTCCATTTCTATCAGTATTATCAACATTTTCAACACACACCTGCTCATATTGCAAAGCAAACTTTAGGCATGTTTTAATTTTATTCTTTTGTACTCTCGTGAGCTAATAAAACAAGTGTCCTTCGTAAACGTGTAGTGTAAAGCAGAGCAAATTGCCTTGTCTCTGAATACTACTGCGACTTTATTTCAGGTGCCTCGGGATACTAATACGTGTGCAAAAACAGGAACCGCAGTACTGTGCTGGTGAAGGAGAAGAACATATGCCAAACGAATCAGGTTGTTGAATTGTGTTCATGATTTTGTGGCAAAAACGGGGCTGTCCTAGCAAATGCCGCAACACTAGTTCATCCAATGTGTTATTGTTTACTAAGCATGCTTTCATATAAATTATTGCTTTAACAGTTTGAGCCAGTTTTTACTGGAGTAAATCGAAATGTGTGCGCGTAGCTCCCTAGGGTGTTCATTACACTAATTTCAGCCTGTGTTTCATGCTTCCAGTAAGGCGTGCTTCAGTTTCAGAGTAAGAACAATATAGCTAGTAACAGCAGTATAAACCATGAATGCTGTATGGTCAATAAAGCAGTATGGTCAGTATCAGCAGCATGGCCAGTGACAATAGTTCAGTTCTGATAGAAAGGCACTGTTCTGACTTTTTCTGCCTAGCCGCCCGGAACCACTTCCCCTCATCCCAGCGAGTGGGCCCTGACCTTCGTTGGATATTGCTAGAGTAGATCGAACCTCTTCTAAGGACTATTAGCCAAACCGCGTTAACAAAGCACGTGTACTTGTGAATGCGAGCGCTTGCCTGTCGGGTAGGGGAAGGGGGGATTTAAAGAAGCGTGTTCAGGAATATGCAATGAACAAACGATTACATCGACACCTCGAGGTTCGAAGTGCTTCATTGAACTATTTTTGTTTGACACTGAAAGGCAAAGGGATAAATGCGACTGATCCTAACCGGGAAGGATGTTATGAGAAAGATCCTTTACAAAAATGTCCGAAACCTAGTGTGAAATCTTATATATATAAGCGATGTATTTGTTCAGTAAACGTATGCTATCAAATGCGATCATAGAAGAGGATACAAGACCCATATAAGAACATATACGTACAGTATATGATTATATAAAACGTCATATGAAACTTATCACTTGCTTATAAATTCTTATATAATAGTTTATTGTCCCTATATATTCTTATAAAGTCCTATTTTCTTTCATAATTTTATTTGATAATTTTTTGTAGCGTTAGCTACACTGTCCTGGGTTGAGCAGTTTCGCGTGGCCCTCATAATGAGCCGTGCTCATTTTGCGGAGCGCGCGTCGGCGGCGGCGGAGCTCCGCATAATGAGCACGCATAATGAGCACGCATAATGAGCACGGCTCATTATGAGAGCCACGCGAAGCCGCCGCCACGCCCGCCTCGCGCGCCTCGTCGGTCTTCGCATTCCAGAGGAGTGACGTCATAGCCGCGGCAGACGCACTGGCGCCGCCGCGTGCCCAGCTCTGCGCCTCCGTTGCTCAGTAGCCAAGTCTGAAGCTGCACCGGAGCCGCTTGATAGCGCCTCTCATTTTGTGCGCACAAGCTCACGCTACGTATATTTTGGCATACCCGAGCTAAGTCACCGCAATGTTTTTTTTTTTATTGGACCCGGAAATTTCGTATACATGTAAGATTTTTCACTAGTAAAGGAGATGATCTAAATGAGGACGGGCTGAATAATAACCAACGTCCACAGCAGGGCACCCTCACGGTTGTCTCTTCGCACCCAGTGGCCATCGTAAGCGATCATCTGACAATAGCGGCCCAATTAACAACTTTCAATCGCATGGGAAGTTGCAGTATGAAACACTATCAGTGAATGAACCGAGATTTATCGACCCGAAAGCAACATGTCACGTTGAATTTTCTGAAGTCGTAGCGCCAAAATATATATATTTTTTTTAAATATATGACTTGTATCTGAGAGCGCCAGAGAACAAGCAAATCAAAGGTTGTCACCTATCACACGCTGTTTTCTTTTAAATAAAAATATAACTGGCCGTCTAGCTGGACTCAAATGGCATAGATTAAAACAAATTACAAATGGCAAAGAGGCTCATTTTCGCTTACCGACAGCAGATGAGCGCACGGCAAAGCGCTTACTGCCAATCTGGTCGCCCATAGAGCTCCGCAGCTGTGTTTCAAGTTGGAGCACCAGGCTCGGTGGCATCTCGGCCCCTTCGACAGCTTCGCAGATCCTACGGAGAGGTCAAGAAGATTCCGACTTATTTCCTTAATTTTGTTTTGCAAATTAAGAAAACGGTGACAATAAGATAACCGTGAAAGAAGCTGGCGACCATATTGTCGCCCTTCTTAGTGAGCCTGCGTTCTAGATTACCTAAGCGCGGTGTTTAGTAACCCCACAATAAAAACAAAGTATAAAAATATATTGTTTGAAATATGCTTAAACAAACTGCTCGTACCTACTCATTCAACTTGTTTACATTTTATTTGAACATAGCCAGCCATAGCAAAATATAACATCCGATGCAAGTCAGGTCCCTATGCGTCAACTTCCGGAGTGCCACAAGGATCAAACCTCAGACCCTTGCTGTTTAATATTTTTTTTGTAAACGACATTGTTTTAAGTTTAAGAAACTCGTTGTTGTTTCAGTTTAGTGATGACTCGAAAATTTATTGCGCTATCCGCTTCTCTGATTACTGCGAATTGTTGCAGAATGACTTTGATGAAACTTTTCTTTCGCGTCACACAAACCTGCTGGCCTTAAATCCCACAAAAAGCAAAAAAAAACAAAAAAACTGAGTTTGTTTTTTTTCGCCTAGGGTTAATATTATTGATCATTCTTTCCACATTAAATGCCTTAGACATTAATGTTCTTCCATTATACGTGATATTAGTATTTTTGTTGATTTATACTAGACTTTTAGGGATCATGTTTGTGAATTAGTAATGATTATTTACACTGGCTATGTCCAACTTAACGCATTATCACTCGCAAATTCCACTGTTACTTTTGCATACTACGCCTAATTTTCTCGCCAGTTTTATCTAGGTTAAATATTATATATTATATATTAGAATCCGTGCAACGACGCTTTGTAAGAGTTGTATATGATCGCCATATTAGACGGAAAATGTCTATGACTATGTGCGTTTTTAGTCACTCTTGGTCTTTCGCCTTTTTCGGATAGACGTGTGGTTCTCGATGGGGCTCTTCTTTATAACGTGCTCAAATTTGTTATTCATCTTGCACCGCAGTAGTATTATATGATACACGATTGAGCCAGAAACAAACAAGGGGGCTGACCCCGCCCCCTTGTTTATTAAGGGGGCGGGGGCCAGTCTTGACCAATCACAGAGCCGCAGGGCGGGGCCTCTTCCCTTTCTCCCAGCCCAGGGACCAATGACAGGGCATGGGCGTTGGCCAGAGTAGTAGTAATCAATCAATACGAAAACATGTGTTTCCGATATCGACATGTTCCCGATATGTTTCCGATATCGGGGTGTCCGGTTTCTGACATCGATACTATCTATGGAATTGATATGCGGGTCATCGATCCTATCTATTGGGATATCTAAATGGCTAACTGCGTGTTTCCGATATCGATATGTTTCCGATATCGGGGTGTCCGGTTTCTCACATCGATACTATCTATGAAATCGATATGAGGTTTATGCGGGTGTCTATTTCTCACATCGATCCTATCTATTCCACACTGTATTTTATAAGCATCAGGGAAAGAAATGTCTGCACTTTATTCACCAAATGGTACGAGTGCATTTTAGATTTCTGGCAGACCGAAACGTACTCACGCCGCGTGACGTACGATGTCTTTTTATCTTACATATCACTCAAAAACAGCGATGGTTATTTGTAGAGAGCTGAGGAACGTGTGGGTTGTCACCGGTCGTAGGAGAGGTGAACACACATTCGAACATAAAATATATATAGATTTGGCACTGTAGTAATGCACATACCGTGGAGTAAAATAATTGCATATCCCGGTAAAACACGCACTGACATTAATTATAGGAAGATAGCATGCGATGACAGCATCAACAAGACACAAAGTATAGCATATGTTGAAAATTCGTGGTCTAAGAAACATTTTTTAAAGTAATGAAAAGTTTTACAGCGTTCTCAGAAATGCCGGTACCTTGCGGAAGCCAATTCTATTGTTAAATTACTATTGCGAAAAAAAAAGTTTGAACCCTTTTGTAAGCACGAGAACAAAATGGCTGACCCGCAGAGGAAATTACTAGCTGCGGGGGTCGATCTTTGTTTCGGTTACATAAGGACGACAATATGGAATGTTTTTTTTTTTTATTTTAATAACGTGAACAAGAGGCAGGCGGTTTCGATAGCCTCGCTCAGTCTGTGCATTCAACTTGAGTATTGCACAGAGGGGGACACTGAATAAAAACAAGTATTTTTTATATAGGGTGTTTCTGCAAAGATTTTTATAAATCACACACAATATATTAGGTAAAAAAAAAAAAAAACTACACGGGAACAAACTGCCAGGCACAGCGGACGTCAAATAATACAGAAATAAACACCAAATTAAAATATATTTACCTACATTTTACTAATTACAATTTTAATAATGAATCAACCATATGGTTCAAATGAGCAACTTGCTGAGCGTCATCAAAACCGTTAAATAAGTTAAATTTAGAAAAACTTTATACACCTTGTAAGTTCAAGTTTTCTCTCGTGCAGCCGGCGGAATGCCTGCGATGAGGAAAGGCGGATGATAGGAAACTCATCCGAGTTTTCACATCGCCAGCCTTCCTGTATCTTGTTGAGTCGGGCTGCCGCCGACGCACTGCGATACCCGATTCGTAAGTACAAAAGGCGGCTGTCAGCGTTGCCTCGACAGGTGTACACGAGGATAGATGGTGGCAGAAACAACTACAAGTTCAAAAAGGAAAACCCCGAGGCTACTCGGGCGGAGCCACTCTAACTACGCAAACGCTGTCGGCGCCAAGGCCTTCCATTTTCTCGCAATAAGATGCATTTCCCTAGAAAGAATATTCAGCACCCGTGGAAACTTCTCATTAAAGCATGCTCCTCACGCACACCACTCGTCATTCGAATAAATCATGTGAGCAACTGAGTGTGTCCTGTGCGCAACGCCTCCAAAACCACGTAAACGTTTTCCGTAACCAAGCATAATTTACCGTAGCGCGCGTATAAAGCAAGCCCAACGCATTTTGTGTTTTTTTGGGTTGACCAAAAAGATAAAGACGAGTTTTAATTTTTTGAAAACGTTTTGAATGTTTCACTCTGTCGAAGACTTTAGCTAAGTCCATGAATACAACATGAACCTGACCCCACCTATCTAAAACTTCAGCGATGGCATGCACTGTCAAATGCCATAGGGCAGCCCATATTGCATTTTCGCTAATGCACCATGTGGGGTACCTGCGTGAAGTGAGTGGACAAATGCTTCTGCCTTACTAAAACATATCAATGAAAAAACGAAAGCTAAGAAAAATAAATTTCTATTGCTATTTTATTATTAGCGTAAGTACAGTGATGAAAAATAATTTGTTATCTGGTCACCTAGACACTCACCTGATTGATAGGGCTTTCTTCTGGTCAATGTTTAATCTGTCCCAAATGAAAGAAGATGTAATAGAACCATGAAACAGCGCTCACAAACGCTCTCAATCCAAATGAAAAACATTGGAACAATCCAACCTGTGGTAAGTGTCCAGTTCCTTCAGGCAGGTCGCTAGCTTGTTGTGGTCACGTAAGTCACCGTAAGCTCTTGTTGTAAGCACAATCGCGCCTGGGACGGCGAACTGCATTGACATGAAATAGCCGACACATGTAAAACGTTGACGTACTCAGACTCTCAAACTTAAGCTTCAGAGCTGAACCTCATTCTGCAAGTGAGATAACGGTGGTTCTGAAAGGAATTTCCCATGTTATTTTCCATTTTCATACGATCCTCTATCTATTGAAATGTATTTAAAACAGAAAAAAAAAATGTTTTCTTTTAGAAACAGCATTGATCACATTAGAATACATTACGATATATGAATGTTTTTGTTATTCCCGTTATATATCAGAGAGAGAGAGAGAGAGAGAGCCTCCAAGAAGAAGCAAATAATCAACCACTTTACGTCCAGGTGACATAACAGAAAAATACCTCACTGAGCACCGGCTTGGAAGTCTGCGCGCCTGACAATGCGGTTTCGTTCCAAGGCGCTACTTGCCTGCAAAGAAACGCAGTGCCAAACTGCTTTTCTTCGGCGTTTCATTGATTTTTCTTAGGCTCGCCACATAATTGCCAAAATGATCAAAGTTGAGCCATAGGTCCCGCAAGACCCCGCGTGAGCCACGGTTGTCGCGAAACACCAGGCAAGATAACAACACGACAGCCGACAACTGATCGGGTGTTTGTCTTTATCTTTGACAATGAAGACCTCGCACGAGTCACAATTGCTGCCAAACACCCTGCACGATGGCAACGTGATCGCCAACAACGGATCTGGTGTTTGAAAACAAAGGATCTGGTGTCTGAAGCATGTGTTCGCGATTAAACACACTTCTATTGATTGTTAATATTTTTTGGGGTGATGGATTTTTACGATACTCTTTCTTCTCTCCATCTCAGTAAATATAGTTGTGAGTAGCGCCTCTATCCTGTATCTCCTCTCTTCCCTCTACGTGTGCGCTAATACTGTTTAAATGTTTAGTTACGAACTAGCCCCAATTAGCTGCCCTTTTATCGTTCCCGTTTCCCGCTAAAAGTGCACACTTCCTGCATTGCGTTTTTGGTTTGCAGACCTCTCCACTACGCAAACCGGGAAGAGGGAAAGTGTGCCAGCCTATACTCCGTTCACGCCTAAGCCGGCCTTGAGGTGGTATCTCTCAGCTCGTCAAACCACTCAGCCACGTTCGTTTACCACCTGAACTCGCTCTCTGCTCGTGGGTATTGGCAAGGCCGTGTTCCCCTGCAGATAGATAGACGCACGACTGGTTCAAAGAGCGCTTAGCTTTCACCGCACTGTCAGCGGCGCTTATATGCATCAACGACCGACCTGGGTGCGCCAGCCAGCAGTCCGCTTTCTGAAACGTGGACAGAAATGGTTCAACAATTGACGCGTCGAAAGTAAGACACTTCGGACAACGTTATTTTATTAGAAAGTACTGTTTGGTTTTTTAGAAGAAATACATGGTCTATTGCGCATTCTACTTAGCGGTTCTGAAAGATAACAGCGATCTGCCTGTATGGTCTTGTCTTCTTGTCATCAAGGTACTAATCGAAGTGAAAAAGATAATCACGGACTAGTGGGGATGTAGCGACGAAGACTTCATCAAAGTGAAGGAAGAAACAGCGGACTTTGGTGATCATGTTTGTTCACGAACTCACAATCGAAGCTCATGGAAGAGCAGTGCACTCGTAGAAACAGTGGGACAACAGCGATCTGTGGTTTGTCGCACTTGTAGCTCGGGAGTCCGAAAACAAGAATCACTGCAGTGTGCGGTTCTGCGTGATGTGAATGATTGGCTGTGTAGAATAATCATGGACAGTGTTAGGCATAAAATTCGGTAAGCTTTCTTATTTTTTATCACTTGTTTCATTGTCTTTAAGAGCGTGTGTCTTTTAAAAGCACTAGAATGTACGGATGACGTGTGATATCTAAATAAATTGTAAAGTATGAAAATACATTTTCTATTAGTTCAGTTTTTTTTTTTTTTCAAATGAGAGCTTTTTCGTGCGAATTTACAAAGGCGGATACTGTTCCGTTATACATTCGGCGGCCTTGAAGGAGGTTTTCTCTTTCGCAGCGCAATAGGCAATTCTTTGTGCAAAACTGAAGTATACAACTCTTTATAATGATGGGAAACTGAAAGGTTTCTCTATCTATTATAATTATGAGTTATACCAGTGCCCCGATTGATGCTAGATAGGAAAAGCTATTCATTTGTGGTGTATAGCGGAGCTACTTTTGGTTATGCCCGTCTTTTTGATTCAACATAGGGTAATATACCGTAGGCCCCAGCGGCTCACTTGACTGTCAGGGCACCAAGCGCTTCTTATGAAGTTGGTCTCGGCTCTTTGTTTAGGCGCTTCCATTCCCACGGGGCAGAGCGCCTTAGATCGATAAAGTGACTGCTGAGAGTGACCCCCCGTTGGGCGTCGCCATGTTGCACATTTTTTACTACTAGACACGTGACGTTAAAGTTTTACGTCTAGATTTTAGTAGTAGTAATCTTTAGTAGTAATCTTTAATAACTAATTCTTAGAGTCAGGATCAAGTTCCAGGTCTTGTCAAAGCCTCAAGGGCTTGTGGGACTAGACCCAGCAGTTGCAGCAAGCTTATTGAAAATGTTCACATTGTCACGTACACACACTCACACACACACACGTACAAACACGAATCACACACCGATGACATGTTCTGCTCCAGGCGCAAGTTCACATTTCTGTCGGTCTTGAAAAAGTGCAGGAAAACACGTAGTCTCATCAGAAAATAAACGCACACATACGCAAATACAGTAGCCCGAGAATACAATATGAAGACCGTAGTCGTATCGGAAGCAGGAGCGAACTGCCAAGGCCAACTTATTTCCTCAAAAAAAAAAAAAAAGGACGCTCGCGTTTCTTTTTTTGAGTATTGCTTTTCTTACGGAAAAAAGAAGCATTTTATACTTTCCAAAAAGAAAAGAATGAAAGATATGCGCAGTCACAGTTACTTTGAAAACTTACACGATTACTTTCATAAAAAAAAAGTTTTCATGTTTTTTTTTATATTTTCATTAAGAAAAAAAGAAAAAATCCTAGTGAGGTACAAAATATTTCTTACAATCACGTTTTTAATGATAGCTCAAAACGTGTAAACAAAAAAGTGAACTGAAAAGATTACCTTATAAAACTAAGGTAGAAAAAATGAAGATGGATGGTCACTGTTTTCGCACATCCGAGAACATGCTTCTCAGACATTGTTTCAACATTTTGTTTGAGTTAATGGAAAGCAGAGATTCTGGAAGACCATTAAAAATTTTCGGGACATAAAATGTGCGCAGACTTTCACCATAGTGAGTTCTCACCCTAGGAGTGACGAAACGTGGAACAGATCTGAGTTCACGAGATGGAGTAGACGCGAGTTTGAAATCACTTTCCCAGAAATGCCGCCACACGACAGTTTGAAGGAAAAGCGAGTAAAAAGACGGCAACTCAAGTGAAATGAAGAGGTTAGCATTGGATGAAAAGTCGCTGTTGTATGCGACACTTTTTAGAATCCCTTTTAAAACTCGGTCAATTCTTAAATGCCAGGAGAGTGAACAATTGAAAAAGACTGTTATGCCGTACCTTAGTACGCTGTAAGCTAAGGCGTGCATTATGCTCCTTCTAACTGACAATGGTATAAAACCTTTAATGTGGTACATCATGCACGACACGCTCCTCAGCCGTTGACATACGTAAGACATATGAGTGTCCCATGTAAGATCACAATCAAAGTGAATACCTAAGTACTTTACTGAACTAACATATTCGACAGGTCTACAATTACAACATGGACAATTGGAGCTGTGAAGGAATAGTGGAAAAGTCAAACTGACATTTTTTAAAGGATTACGGAAGCAGATCAGTTTTGTTTTCGAAGCATTTACACGTAGCTTGTTTGCCGAAAACCAGTCAATAATTTTGGTTGCGTCTGCCTGAAGCATTTCCATAGCACGCTGGTAAACTAGGTGCCGAGAAAACAAAAGAGTGTCGTCCGCATATTGAAAAATTGTGGAATTTGTCGTTGCCGCAGAAATGTCATTTACGTAGAGGTTGAATAGTAAAGGAGAAAGAATGGAGCCCTGGGGAACTCCAGAAGTAAGGAAAACTTGAGAGCTGCGGACATTGTCTACTGAAACAACCTGTGTACGATTTGAAAGAAAACTTGAGCAATGTATGAAATGGTCCCCGAAAGCCGATTCTATAGAGTTTGTCTAAGAGGATGTTGTGGTTCACGGTGTCAAACGCTTTGGCTACATCAACGAAGAGGGCACACACATTCATGTTATCGTCGAAGGAAGAGTGCACAATATCTGAGAATTTCTCAAGGAGATTAGTTGTACTACGACCAGCAACAAACCCGTATTGACTTGGCGAGATTAAATTGTATTTGTCGAGAAAACCGGACATAACAATAAAAATATGTTTTTCTAATATCTGTGAAATACAAGATAGTATTGAGATTGGCCTGTAGGATGACACTTGATTTTGTGCGCCACCTTTGAAAAGAGGAACAACTATGGCTTGTTTTAAGTCGTCTTAAGTTTTAAGTTTTAAGTAGTGAAGTACAGCACACAAATAACTGCTTATTGATCTTTCATAACGGTACCAACGAGATAAGTTATGTTTCGTTTGTTGTAAATCAAAAATGTAATTTTGAGACAAAAACTCGGGAAGCTTCGCAATGCCGCCGCTGGATGCCATTGATCAGCCACGGTGTTGTATTTCGGGCTTTCATCGGAGCTAGACACTGCTCTCTGGGACTAAAAATAGTTTATCATGTTTTAACAGAGATCAAAACACAAATCTTGGCTCCGTTTTGCGTAAAAGCCTTAGGATTTGGTACGGGCACGTTTCTAGTGGTCGAAATTGCACAACATGGCGGAAGCCAAGTGGGGGTCACTTTTGCCTTGTGAACGGAATACCAGTTTATCGCTTTAAGCCCCTCTAACTCGTTGTTCCGTTCACTACACGACTAGAGAGAGAGATGACTGATATCTTAGCGCGTGGATAATCAATTTAACTTATTTCGTTCGTATAAGGCGGTATCTTGCGCCACCTAAT